AAACTCGGAATTCGATTCTGGGCATACGTCCAAGTCCCAAATCACGATATGGATCTATCAGAACTGTCAAAATACTGATCTGAGTCCGTTTGCTCAAAATATTGACCAAAGTCAACTCAGTTAAGTTTTAAAGCTCTATTTCACATTTTAATCCATTTTTCACGCAAAAATTTTCCGAAAAATTATACGGACTGTGCACGTAAGTCGAGGAGTGATGAAATAGTGCTTTTTGAGGTCTCAAAATACAGAATTAATTATTAAATTTAAAGATAATATTTTAGGTCATTACATTTATACAAGGCTAAAATATCTCAGACAAAAATGCCTCTCGGGAAGTTATGCGGCCGCACAATTCCATGTACGGTCCGCATATTACTTTGGCTGGTAGGAAGTGGAGTTCTACGGCCGCACATGTCTGAACTGTGGCCGTGAGGCAATCTTCTGCGGCCGCACATTTCTGGGCTGCAGCCGCACAATTATTATGTGGTCCGCAATACTCAAAGGCTCCTGGATCATATTACTAACTACAACAATGCCAAAGTTGAACAAGAAAATATTTCAGTTTTGATATACTGACTCATTAGAAGAACTAAAATATATAAAAAATGAACTGAGAAAGCATATGGACAAACAAGGAAGAAGAAGAGGAAATATTTTTTTCAGCTTTTACAAAAACATTGCTTTAGAAAATTGCTTTTCAGTTTTTTTTTCCAGTTTTTACAAAAATATTATTTTAAAAAATATTTTTCAGCTTTTTTTAAAGCAGTTTTTTTGTAAAAACTGAAAAAAAAATATTTTCGTTTTTTTCACTTTTTAGTTAAAAAAAAATTACTTTTTTCCAAACTAAATAAATGTTACATGTTTAATTAAAATGCTCATCAATGCTATGTCATCTTTCCATTAAGAGAGGGGCATTTTTAAGCCTAAAAATAACATTAAGGGTAAATTTGAACTTATAGGTGGAAAGAGGGCATTTTTGAGTCATTTCTAATATGTTAAGGGTATTTCTGACCCTTTTCCGTTCAAGAAATTAGGTTTACAGAAGAGATGAAATTGCTAGATTCAAGGTAAAGATTGAGCCCCTTAACCTAAAATATAAACCTTACAAAATGTCTACATCTCAAGAAACCAACGATAGGTAGACCATCGATAAACTTGCGACCGACATTAATGGAGTTCATGATCTTCGGGCAACAAGATCAATTTAAAAAAGGAAAAGGGATTGAAATTTAAAAAACAAAAAAATTAAAAATACTATTAGTCTTAGTTATAACTAATTAACTAAGTGGGTTGCTCTAGTGGTGAGCACCCTCCATTTTCAACCAAGAGGTTGTGAGTTCGAGTCACCCTAAGAGTAAGGTGGGGAGTTCTTGGAGGGAGGGAGCCGATGGTCTATCGGAAACAGCCTCTCTATCCCAGGGTAGAGGTAAGATCTGCGTACACACTACCCTCTCTATATCTGGGTTATACTGGGTTGTTGTTGTTGTTGTTGTTATTGTTATTAGTTATAACTAATTAAGTCTAAGCTAATGATATTGTTTTCAATTAAAAGATGTCACTTGTATAAACTAATCAGTTTTAAACTGAAATTTTGCATATTACGCGCTTTCAAGAGAGTGAACACATTCTCCCTACCATGTAATCATTTAAGGGTGTGTTTATTTCATTTTTAAAAAGTTTAAGGGGTAATAAAAACTCGTAAAGATTAAGTGTGTAATTGAAAATCATATTATAAGTAAGTGGTAGTTATGCATTTTCTCTTTACCCTCGGTAGTCCAAAAAACCTTCACTTATTATATATAGTAAAAATAAAAGAGCACTGTCACCCATATGGCAGAATCAATTAAAAAGAAAAGGTTTTTAACTTTATTGCAGCCATCTACATAAACAATATGACGTAAACTCCAATAATTTTGGACAATCAAATCAAGAATATTGCATAAGGCCTTACCTCTATAGGAATGCAAATGGACACCCACAGTTTAATGTAATTTTTTTTTAAAAAATTATCCTTAATGATATGATTTATAACCATATATATTTATTAATTATTTTAGTTCATAAATTTCAAAAGTTTTCTATTTCTTTAAAATTCTATACTCAGTAAAATAAGTTTATTATTTTTAAAAAGGAGAGAATATGTATTAAAGACGGAGTTAGGCTAAGGAATGACATTATAAGTGCGAGATATTAACCATTATGCGTTGAACTGAACTTGTACAAGTAGCATATATTGGTTGAACTTTTACCTGCAGATAACAATTTACCAACATTATTTCATGGTACTTGCTTATTTCTTTCAACCATTGATTCAAGAAGATTTGGACTGTGAAAATCATGCTACTGAGTAGTTGCGCAGTGATATATAAATATTGTATTTTAACTAATACACATGAACAATGTGAAAGAAATTTCACACCATTGGATCACTTAAAAGCCAAGTACAAGTAACTTTTTCATAGGAAATAGACCTATCGCAGTAGGTAAAACTACATCGACTGTCACACCTTCTTTTTCCCGAGGAATAGGTAGTTTTTTCAATTAAAGCAACATTATCCGAAATTGGATTATTTATTTAATCAGAGTCGCCACTTGAAATAATTATTATGGTGTCCCAAGTCACCGGTTTATTTTAAAATCCCAAATCGAGGAAATTGATTATATTTTATGGTCTGCGAACACAGAAGACCGGGTAAAGAATTCTGTTAACCCGGGAGAAGGTGTGAGGCACTTCCGAGTTTCGTGATTTTAGCACGGTCGCTTAACAATTAATACTTGACCTAATTATCTGATTTATTACATGTTTTAAACCTATTGTGCATTTTTTATCCACCGCTTTTAATTAAATATCTAGACGCTTTTAGTATTTATGGAGTTTATTTGAACAAGTTAGGATATCGTACACTTGTCGTTTTTGTACATATTGCAAACCGCGCCACGTGAAACGCACCCGCGATTTACAACATGTTTATTTTAATTATTTGAAGTTGTAGTCAAGTCGCATGAAATACGCACTTGAGTTGGGATTTACATATCTTGACCATGCTACGGGAACCGTACTCATGACCACGATAATTTATTAATCGTGCCTGAGGTATCTAGCACGTCTATAATTGTGTTTTAACTACATTTGAGATGTATTGAGAGAAGGAATTATGGAACAATCGAGAAAAATGAGTCACCTTTTGTTCTTATTAAGTTGGCCGATGAAAAATAAATTATTTGGTCCATGTTCTACCCAATAAACCCGAAGCCCACTAAAACATAACTAAATTGTATTCTGTCAAAGAAAACCCATTATGCAACCTAAACTACTTACTCATTTCAAATTATTAAAATCATATATGGCTCATATTAGTCACACAATCCAACTGGCCATTAATCTACTATAACTAATGTCTAAATATAAACCCAAAACAGAAGGTGAATCAACAACATTGAAACTTATTTTTGATAAATAAACAATTGAAAATTGGTAAGTCAAGCAATTCCAATTAAATACTAAATGAATGAAACAGTAGAGAATAATGTTAAAACCATAGATAAGATAGGAGCATATCACAAATTTTACCAATCAAGGACAATAATAGCAGTAAGTAAATCAAAGAAAACCGAGCAATCCAAACAAATCTGCAAATTTATTGAAGAGCACGGTATTGAAAATACACTAAGAGAAGAAAAAAGACCTTTATTGCTGCATATGCTCTAACATTCACAATGAAAGAGGAGCTCCCAAATTACAATCCTAAAACGATCTGTAGATCAGGACTTCGACGAACCCGGAAACTTCGAACGACACCTCACTTTAACGATGATTTCCGATAGTATGTTAGTGATGTTTTGTGCTGTTGTTTCATGGTGGTTTTGGGGTATTTTTGGAGCTGGAATTTGGGGAGTTTTGGGGCTGGATTTCAGGATGTATTTTAGGGAATTTCGGGCTGTTATTGAGCTGCTTTTAGGGAGTAATTTCAGCTGTGTTTTGGCTGATTTTTGGTGAGTTTTGGGGCTGTTTTGAAGCTGGTTTTCAGCATGGCTTTGGCTGGAATTTCGCTGGTATTTCAGCAATGTTTTGGGGTATTTTTGGTGGAAGCTTGGTGTGTTTTTTTAAGGAAGGAAAACAGAGGTGTTTGGATGGTGTTGAGGCGGCTGATTTGGTGGAGGAGACGGGGCTGTTTAGCAGAGCTTTTTGGGCTAAAAATGGGGGTAAGATGGTGAAGCTTTGATGGTCGATTTCGTGGAGAGGGAGGCTGCGCTATTGTGCTTTCTTTTTCGTCCCTTCCTTTGTGAAAGTGTGTGCGCGCTCTATATCTGATGTGAGGAAGTGGGGGAAGTGGAGTAAAGTGAGTGTGTGCAGTTTAAAATGACATTAGGGTGTTGGGGGAAAAGGGGTAGAGTGAGTGTGTGTTAGTGTAAAATGACGTTACGAATTTTGGGGAAAAGGGATAAAGTAGTGGTAGTGTAAAGTGACATGAGAGAGTTGGGGAAAAGGGGTAAAATGAGGTATTGGTGGGACGAGTGATATAATATTTTAAGTAACACCTCTAAAAGGTGAAATAAGAGTTAAAACATGTAAATTAAACTTAAAATATATTTGCATACTAAAAAGTGGTAAAAAATTCAAACATGATAAAAAATTAGGTGCTCAGATCGACAACATAAAAATATTTTCTATAATAGGTGTATATAAGTAATACTTTTACGAGTTGGTATCGCCAGTGGGAATTGAATACTTCATTCCCTGATCATGCATGATTTGTTTCTGCAATAGATACTTGAAAATATAGGAATCTAATAAAAGCCAAGATATTCTTTTTTGACCACTCGTAGAACAACAACAACAACAATAACATACCTAGAAAAATCTCTTACGAACAACAACAACAACAATAACATACCTAGAAAAATCTCACAAGGAAGGTAGTGTGTACGCAAACCTTATTCCTGGCTCGTGGAGATAGAGAGGCTATTTCCGAAGACATTCGGCTTTTGACCACTTGTGATATGTCAAAAATCATGAAAGTGCTCACACCTCGTCAGTTATATACTAGAAATAATGCTCTATACAACTCCAAATTTACAAAGTGTAAATCCACAGATAATGAATACCTGGAATATACATCAAGAAAACTGCAGTATATGTGACAACTCTACTACATAGTATATCATCCAACTACTATCTATACTATAACCTTGAGCCTCTTTCTTCTTTTTTTGCAGCAGGCGACGATTGATGGGATATATAAGCACACGCGGAATCAGCACAATTTTCCCTTACACCATTACATGGCGAAAGTCAAGAGTGGACCTCCTCGTTATGTCTAAGTAAGTGAGATCAAAACTACGAAGATTATATCGTGCTTCCTTCGATTGAAACCGCCCTTCTAGCATTGTTAGTTCTCCTCGAGCTGATAAAATATCCTAACATAATCTTCTGCATCCCAAAGGAAAGAACCAAAAGCAACAGCCTCTAACACAATCCTTTTCAGACTCGCCAATGACGTGGAAACTACCTCATCGCTCTCATCGCCAAAAAGTGCAGAACAATGTTTCTCAATCAGATTCAGTGCCTCCTTGCATTTCGGTTTTGCACACATCTGCATTATTTCATGGTCAAAATTCATAACATAAGACCTAAGCTTTTCATTCTTCTTCCCCTGGACAAGTGATGTTGGACCGACTAATGTAGATCGTGTGCCACTGAGACGACCAAAGGGAACGCTGTTTTGTTTTAACGGCCACGACCCTGAAACTAAAAGGTTGCTTGAAGTAGCAACACCAAGATCAGAGTTGATATGATCAAGACTCAGTTCCATATGGTGTCTCAACGAGGCCGACTTCAAAAAATATCCATACAGAATCGAAGAAGCATAAACTCGATGGATTTGGAGCTTTGGGACTTGAGTAGGGGTCCAATTTTCTGTCACGTTCGACTTCTCTTTCCATCCGATAACAGTAAGAAGATGTTCTCTTACCATTTCGAGTACTTCAAAGCTATGGATTGACTCGAGCTCCCAGTCCCGACAGGGCCATATCTCGAGTCTGCCATTGTACATGCATTTGGAGAGCTTTGGAACCAAGTGCACTCCGATTTCAGAGAACTTATAAACTATTAACATGTACAGAATATCCTCAACAGAATTTCGACATTCCAGCCTTTTCAGTTCAGCAATCCTCCTGGAATTTCATCATATACAAATATTAGTAAAGTATATGGAAGTGACTGGACAAGTCTACATTTGAATGAGTAAGTATCAGGTAATTAAACAAGCAGTGTTCGAACAAACAATCCTATCATCATAATGCAGAAACCAGAATTCAGTTACCTACAATTTTGTAATTTGTTCGATGAAGTAGGAACCTAATCAACGACTATGTCTAATTACTCTAAACGATCTCTTTTAAAACCATAGTAATGTCAAATTTAGTCGTGTTCATGCAAAAGTTGCAGCAAAAGCATAGTAATGGTTGCGGCAGATCCGGGACTTAAACTTAATGGGTTCAAAATTAAATATTTGTTGAAATTTAGATAAAATTTCGCATATATATATATATATATATATATACACACACAACCTGTAAGCAGAGACCTATTTGTAACTCCCTTTGCCCCAATCTTGTGACACAATTAGTCTTTTATGCCGCAAAAATTATATTTAACTGAAGTCAATGTTAATTTCTTCAAAATTTTGAAAATTAAACTTAATTAAGAACATGTAAGTATTTCAAAAAACTTGCACTACTCTCTGGCTCAAAGTATAACCAGTTATTTCCTCTTCAGAATACCCAATAAATCAAAGATTTGGAGAACAAACTTGCTCAGTACCATAAAATTCAGATATACAAAGATGAAGAAACCTCTAAATATCATCTTAGATCCAGAACACCAAACACTTAAATAACAGGACTAACGAATGCACGACACACCAAGATTGAATGCTAATCAGACGGTTGTAGTGAACTTTTGCTTCTTTAGTTCAACTTCAAGTTACGGAGATAACGAAGAGATACTAAGGTCAACGTGGCGCCATCCCACACTGCTTCGCCAAAATATATACAACTGATCGACACCGGGCAAATTAAACATCAAGTTTGGATAGTGAGTAAAGACTTAGGACCTCCACACAATACCATACCCAAACCATTGTACAAGTCAATTTACGGCAATAACTTAGTTTCTATACGCTGACAGTGTAAATAAATCTTTTTACAGTATTAAGTTGACTTACAACAACAACTAATTCTAGTATCAAGTCCGACTATCATATTAAGTTGACTTACAACAACAAATTCTACTATCAAGTCTGATTATCATATTGAGTTCTTACAACAACAACTAATTATACTTTCATGTACGATAGGTTAAAGTTGTCTACCTATAGGTTACAAGTTCAAGCAACCACTAATGGTAGACTGTGTAAGTCACATCCTTTGGGTGCGGGTCCCAAACTCGGGATGCTTTGTAAACCGGGCTATTATTCCTATGTCCGATATGTTAACCAGGAAAATAGAGTAATGACCTACTATATCCCTTAAAATTGCAGTGATTGTTAAAATAATTAAATTATATCAGCAGTATATATAACTTAAAACTCTTATGACAATAGGTCGACACGGCTTGTGAAAATATGAAAAGGGAAAAGGGGACACCAACCTGTGAAGAACAGCTTCATCAGACCCCAAGTTGAGATTCATACGAAGAAAAGCTTCACCCTTCTCATAACCCAACTTTGCCAATTCTTTTTGCACAACAGCATAAAAACACTTTCTATCATTCTGAAAAATATTGCTCAAAAATCTCCCTTCTTCTGTCCTTGGCACTATTGGCACGCTCAAACCACTGAATTCACAATTACTACTGCTGCTATTATTATTATTACTACTACTTTTACCACTTGCCACCACAACCAACGATTTTCTGAAATTTAATGGAGAAAAAGGTATTGATGAAAAAAGGGTATTTTTTACTGTGAAAGGTAAAGATTGAGGAAGAGAAATATTGGTGTAAAAGAAGCCACAGTCCATTCAAGAAACAACTGGTAAGAACAGAATAGAGAAGGAATTTGGTGGCGGAATTTAGTGTGTAGCTAAGAAACACGCGAAAGAGAGGAAAATATTAGTATGATAGTTTTCAAGATTGTTTTTGGTGAAGATTGTAGTAGTAGATATTCTACCAGCATGAAAAGCCAAAGTTAATAAAACTTGCAATCCTTCTCATTAAAGAATTATTAGTTGTAGAGTCCTTATCCAACTCAATCATGAACTTTTACAAATAATTATTATAAGAGAATAATATTATTGATCTGATAAAATATACTATACGAGATTATTAATAATATGTGGGCCCCGTTTAAAAATTGGAATCTTAACCTAATAAACAANTACAGTGATTAGAAATTATTGCGAGTATGCGATTTGTGTGGTATATCATGTGATTACATATGGAGCTATGGCTAAGGATTTTATGGTATAGCGTGACACGGGATCACCCCCGGGTATGTGCGTGGTAAGGTAGAATAATGATTTGATGGCTTGGAAACAACTCTTGGCACGTTCGAGGATGAACGTATGTTTAAGTGGGGGAGAATCTAATGACCCGGGAGTTGACCGGAGTTTGACTTTTGTGCAAATGACTCCGGAATGGAGTTTTGATAGTTTCAATAGCTTCGTATGGTGATTTTTGAATTAGGAGTGTGTCCGGATAATTATTTGGAAGTCCGTAATTAAATTAGGCTTGAAATGGCAAAAATAGGAAAATTTAAGTTTGGAAGTTTGATGGGGGAGTTGACTTTTTGATATCAGAGTCGGAATCCGATTCTGGAAATTTGGAATAGGTCGTTTATGTCATTTATGACTTGTGTGCAAAATTTGAGGTCAATCGGATTTGATTTGATAGGTTTCGTCATCGATTGTAGAAGTTGGATATTCCTAGAGTGTTTCGACGTTGATTCTTCAAGAATACGTGGTATAACATTAAGCAAATGAGCTTGAAATTCAGTTTTGATTGAAGAATTAGATCCGTATTGAAATTATGGAGCCATAGCAAAAAGAATCGTCGAATTCGTACATTGTATGAGAGAGTTATGTCCATTTTCGTGTCGGGAAATATTTCCCGTCGTTGGCAGCGTCCAGGGTAGCGTGGGGCGCTATCCCTGGTGCTGGAACTTCTAGAGTTCTGGAAACGGTGCCACAGGCAGCGCCCTACTCCACCCGTGGCACCCGAACACTAAAAATCCCTATAAATGGGAGGTTTTTGCCTTATTTGGCGAAAACAGAGTTGGGGAGTTCGGTTTGGGCGATTTGCAGAGGCAAATTTCACCACACAACTTAGGGTAAGTGTTCTTGACTCCCATGTGATTATATTCCATGAATTAATCTTCGTTTTCGGTGTTAGATTATTGATTTTTCAAGAGAAATCGGAGGAAATTTCTACAATTCCATAAAATGAATTTTTTAGATTTGAACATTGATTCAGAGTCGGATTTGAGTAAAATTAGTATGGTTGGACTCGTAATTTAATGGGTTGTCAGATTTTATGAGTTTTCTAGGATTTCAAGACGTGGTCCCCACTGTCGATATTTCGAGTGGAGTTGGGAATTTTTGTAAATTGTTAAATTGTAAGCATTGGAGTTTAATTTGATTAATTTGCACGTTGGTTGACTAGTTTCGAATCGTTTGGCTTGGAATTGAGGAGATAGGAAGGCGTTCAAAGGTTGATACGCGCAGAGCGGAATTTCTGGAGCATTGTTTAGCTTGTTGGTTATTGGATTCGACTTGCTCGAGGTAAGTAACATCTCTAATCTTGGAGTTGAGGGTATGAACCCTAATTATACGTATTATGTGAATTGTTTGGAGGTGACGCACATGCTAGGTGACGGGCGTGTGGGCGTGCACCATATAAATTGAGACTCGGTTGATTCCGTAGAGATCNTATATATTATTTGCTACATATTTTTAGTTTAGCCACTCTATGCCAAGGGTGGTCAAGCGCACATCTTTCGCAAAAAATTTATATTGTGTATATAAGTTAAATATTAGTTCTTTATATGATTATATATTATATTTTGAACACCCTTAATACAGTTGAGTAAGGCAATCGAGAGTGTTCAAAGTAATATGTTATTCACGGGTTCAAATTTCTACTCATTTTATTTGCCAAAACTAAATGGAGACCAGTATGTGTGGTCTATTTGATTCTTTTTCAATCTAATCTATAAAAAAAATCCTAATTATAACTCTTATAATTTAAAATGTATAAAAATAAACAAATATCTTAAAAGTAATTTTTTAACTAAAAATTATTTCTTGAATAAATTTTATAATTTAAAAGTCAAGCTCTACTCAACAAAAGCTCTCTCCAAACTACAAATCCTCTCCACTTTCTCTTTCTTTTGGTTTTATACTTACTTTTATTGGTAAAATTTCTAATGCTGTATTTTTGTTATTTTAATTTATAAAATAATAGTTTTATTAATTTTTTTTATTGTTTAACAAAATATTGCATAGTTTAATTTAAAAAATTTGGCACCATTTATGAACAACAAAAATTATTAATTTATTTAAAATTTGAACACTCTTAAACAAAATTCTTAGCTACACTACTAATTGGATGGACGATTATTTAGATTAATTCTGAAAATCTAATGTTCTTCGCATTGAAAATAGAGGAGTAACTGGGAGACAAGAGAGTAAGGGAGTGGTGGGGTTTAAGGTTTTTGTTCGAGAAATGTTGACTCGAGAGTGGAGGAGTTGGCAAAGATAAATGAACACAGTCAAAGAGGATAAGGATGGTGTGTTATCAGCTAGTAAAAAAAAGAACTTTTTGCTCAATATAAGTTGAAAAGAAAACGGGAAACGGTTATAGTTAATAGTTATCCTTGTATTATTAGAAAATATTTAATTTACCCTCCTTTTATTTCCGATTTTATTTAAGCCGTTATATATGTCTAAATGACATGAACTAACTAGTTTGATAATTGAAAAATAGCAGTATTTGTAAAGTATTTAAAAATGGTCACTATTAAATACAAAAATAAATCAGACCAAACACGCAAAAAAAATTCAGTATAATATGATGGATTATATAACTACTGCATAAAATAATCTAAAATAATCTAACATATTTATATTTGAATTCTAGCACATTATAAATTCTAACACACTATGCTGGAATTTCGTATGTAAAAAATTAGAACTTCAGCATATTATGGTGAAATTTTTTGAATTTTAACGAAGAATATTTTTGTTTAGATTTTATTTTCGCATAAAAAATAACTAAATTTAATTAATTTTAAAATTATACTCCCTCCGTTCGAATTTATGTGAACCTGTTTGAATGGACACGAATTTTAAGAAAAAATGAAGACTTTTAGAATTTGTGGTCCTAAACAATTCAAAAAGGTGCACAGAGTATTTGTGTGGTTATAAAAGTTTCTCATTAAGGGTAGAATTATAAGTTTAAGCAAAATTATTTTCAAATTTAAAATTGGGTCATTCTTTTTGGAACGGACCAAAAAGAAAATAGGTTCACATAAACTAGAACGGATGTAGTAACTAATTTTCAATTAACAATGGTAAACCAAGCTAATCTTGAATTTCTTTCGTTATACGTTTGTGTATTCGGGTAAAATCGAGCAATGCATGTCCTGGTGAAGAAGACGGAAGGGGGTACGAACACGCGAGGTTGAAGTCGAGGCTGGGAGCCTTCGTACCGAGACCCATGAAAAATTAACAATGGACTCATCGTCGGGCGTGATAAAGCAATGCTCCCGATATGACAAACGGTTACGCACGACTAACAGAGGGCTGTGATATCCGTACTTAACCGGATATCATGGCGCATATCTCGCCCGTTGTCGGTTACGGATCAGTAATTAGCAAGAAAGAGAGATTTTTACCTTTTTAGACTTGTATTAGGGATGAAACTCCCCTACTATATAAAAGAGAAAGTTTTTCTTTGATAACACACATTGTAACTTGCATACCAAGGCAATAAAAATTCATTTTTCTACTTTCTAGCTATTGTGAAGTTCTTACTTTATTGTTGTTCTTCATTCACAATTGGCTTTGAACCAAGGTTTCGATCGAGGGCAAATCTACTGTTCAACCTAAGTTCGAGCCATGTCGTAGCATTACAATTGGTTTGATTATTCATTTTATCTTTAACTCGTTTATCTAATATTCTTGATTAGTTGTGTTGAATCAATCCACATATCCTTAAAACCGCGTACAAATTTAATTGTTATTCGTTTTAAGCGTAAATAGTTTGGTGCCCACCGTGGGGCTAAGGATAATAATGGTGATTTGATACAAATCTCCATAACACACTCTATTTTATGCTTGTTCTTTAAAGTCTTAATTTCAGGTTAGTTTAAAAATATCAAATTCTCAGTCTACCCACCTGAACGTTGACGCTGAGTCTGGCCATCATGGCAAAATAACAATCTGGTACTTAGCAACGAGGTACCTCTTGCCGATCCCAACGGAGTCCTAGTTGCTGATCCGGTCGATGCTATCTCACAGGTGGCCATCTATGTCAACCTGCCAATTGATCCCGAAAACAGCGTTCGCGGGGGACCCCGACCAACTGCTCGAGAAGCGTCCGAAGGCGAAGGCGATGGGGTTAGCCTACGGTTAATCTTCAAAATATTGCAGGCTCAACATGCGGTGATAGCGCATCTGCATAATCAAAGCCACGCCCCCAGCAAAGTTAAGCCCGAACCGTCTAGGGAGAATATCTAAATGAATATGCAGATCACCGAGAGACCGGCTGAAGGTGAGTCCGGGGTCAATCCCGAAATAATGAAAATGCTTGAAGCATTAACGAAACGGGCGGAATCATGTGAAAATAAAATTGAGGCCAATGACAAGAAGGTGGAAACATACAATTCTAGGGTCGACCAAATCCCGGGAGCACCCACGATATTGAAGGGGTTGGATTCCAAGAAGTTTGTCCAGAAGCCTTTTCCTCCGAGCGTGGCACCGAAGCCGATCCCTAAGAGGTTTCGTATGCCCGACATCACAAAATATAACAGAATCATGGATCCGAATGAGCACGTGGCCTCCTATACATGCGCAATCAAAGGGAATGACTTGGAAGAAGATGAAATCGAGTCAGTTTTAATGAAGAAATTTAGGAAAACTTTGTCCAAAGGAGCAATGATATGGTATCACAACTTACCCCCAAATT